CCTTCTCTTTTCCGCCGTCCTTCCCTGTTTTCATTTCCCGTGTCTCTCTTTGTCCGTCTGTCAGATCCCCTCTCGTTCTACATCACTTCTTCGGTTGTGCTGGAACTATGGTTTGCCCTCCGTTTCACCTTTTTCCAGCTAGTGTGTGACTGCACACACACACACACACACACACACACACACACACAGACACACACACACTGTCATGTCATTCTATCTGCTGTTGAACAAACTCATAATAACATGTTTTTTCATACGTATATTCTGATAAATAACCTCTCACATCCTTTATCCAAGAAAGACCAAACAGACTAATTGTAGTAAATAAATAAAAAATCAGTTTTTTTTTTGCTTTTTTCTTCCTCAGACCTGAGATGTCATTTATTTTGAGTTACAGCACCCCCTCATCCCACAAAGGATGGAGAGATGAGAGGAGAATGAATGGGTATTACAGCATTTATTTATCTTTTTGTATACAGTGGCGACAACAAAGAAGTGACAAAGAGACGGGAGTCGGACAGATGTGGGATTTTGTGACCGGTGCTCCACACAGAGGAGAAGCGGGGCCATTTTGCTTTTTTCAGATCATCTACTACGGGTGAAATGTGGCCAACAATGAAAAAAGTTGTGTTTTTGGCATTAAAAACTTGCAGGGATGTAAAGAGTTAAAGGAGCCAATATAGAAACTATTCAAATTCAAAATGCGAGTAGCTGGTCACTCCATGTCTAAAGCGAATGCAGTTCATGAAATGAGCCATTTGATGACAAAAAAAGGATCTTTTAAAGAGTTTTTTTTTACCAAAGAATGTGACTGACATTTATTTAAGGCAATTTAAGAGTTGCAGTGCATTTGTTTTCAAATTCTACGGTTAATTTTTCTGGACCAGAAGGTCCAAAAGGGTAAATAATTATTTAGGTGGATAAAAATGTCTTTCCAATTCATTTCCAGCTACGCCTTCTTGGTCCAAACACAGTTGCTTTTGTCTTGTATAAAGTTAATAACGAAACCTTTACTTACGGTATGTCCAATTAATAGTCCATGATCTGGACAAGAGCCTGGAAGACATTTCCTGCTCTCCTTCTGAAAGAGAGAACAACTCTTTACCCCAGATCCCCTCAAAAAAATGCTTTATTTGACAAACCAAACTTGAAATGAGCTCAAATGTATAAGCCACCAAGGCTTATAAAGTAAAAAAACTTGCAGATTTTAAGCCCTTGGCTTTCGGGACAATCCACACCCTGTTTTCTCTGGGAAAAAAAGTCATTTTTGATATGTCAGGAGGTCGAAATGAGCCTTATTCACGTCCTGATTAATGTGTGTTTGGTCTGGATTATAAAAAAAAGCAAATATGTTTGGACCAATCATCCGACGGGTCATCTGAAGGCATACACTGCAGAACAAACATAAAATATAATGACCGGTCCACACTGTGAAAATGGGTAGCACAGCGTGGTGCCACACACACACACACACACACACACACACACACTCACACACACACACACACACACACACACACACACTCACACACTAAAGCACTCTGCAGGATTGCTTCCCTCAGCATTCATTTTAGAGTAATTAGTTCAGATCTCCGCTCATCTCGGTCTCTCTCGCTGGTTTTAAATCACCAGAAATGAACGACTTCCTCCTTTAGTCTCAGAATACGCCAAATGGAACCTCTGTCCCAGAAGGCTTTCGGGAGTACTTTTTTTTTTCCTTTTCTTTCTGGAGCAGTGGTTTTCGAACTGTGAGAGGAAAAACTCCCCCGAAAGAAAGTTATTGGGGGAAAAAAGGTTTTAAAAACTCGATTCTTTTACCTTAGCTTTGCCGTTTTGCCCCATTCTAAGAATCAAATGAGACACAATAACCACACCTTACCGACTGACAAAAACAGGATAACTAGAAATATCTAAAATATATAAGCAAATCTGATCTTTATATATAAGCAAATCTGACTTTCCAGATGTTTCCTTCCAGGTATCTTTAAGTGTGGTAAACCTTTTTTCTTGTCCTATCGAAATGTATAGAACTTATGGTCCCTGAACCAGGAAAAAGGAGTGGATAAATAAAAAACCATAGCAAGCCTCAGGCTCCTTTGACTTTCCAAAATCTCCTTTTCAGAAATCACGGCTGGATAACAGCATCTGTTGCCCTCTGCAGATCAGTAGGCCAAAGCTCTGACTCCCACGGTGGTGTTGTAGGGGTCTTACAGATGTCAGAGGCTTTGACAGGAAGGCTTCATACCATGAGAATCAGGTTTTCTGACAGCCCTGTCCTTTGCTATACCAGTTTTACTTAAAAAAAACTACCTGTTGTGTCAGGAAACGTGATCCTTAAAAAAATGTATGATTTTGCTTGCTTCCTTCATTCTGAGATGTTATTGCTTACAGAAGGCCATACAGTAGCATGAAGAAGTTCTCAAAGCACACAAACAAACACCCACACACACACAAATTGCAGCGACCTCCAACAGCCAACCGGGGACCTCATCTATATTCCCGTCAAGCCTCGTTCATCAATGCTCTTTTCGGCGTGACGTCACACTCGGATTTACCGATCGATACCCGTCTCGTGTTATCAAAATGCCTTTTCGATATTTTCGGGCGCGCGTTTTCGTCTCGAAACAAAGGGGCACGCCGAGTAGGGCCTAACCCGAAGATTTGTCGATGAAAGGTGGCGTCCTAACAAACGAAAGCGTGCACGGATCGATAAACTGTGCTGATGACATGTCCTCCTTTCTATGTGCCAAAGAAGAGTTTGTTTTTTTACATAGCTCTAGTTGTCCAGAGTTCAGTTTTGGGTTCCTTCACCTTTAGCTTAACAGCGGTTATATTCAAATACATAAAACCTTTAACTTATATTCCCATCAGCCAGAAACACTTTAGAAAGTTTGAAAGGGATTTTTTCCTGTTATTCAGTCATGCAAATGATAAAGACTTAGTTTTCTTCTATATCGAATACCAAGTCGCACAGGGCTACGTCTCTTTGACTGTATCAGAGATTGTAAGGTTAATAATGCTGAGGGAACTTTGTGAATCGTTTTTAGGTTAAACGTGGCGAGGACGCGGCTGGTGGTGTAGATCAGATCGTGTTTGTGTAGACACTGAAAGAATAACCTTTAGAAATTATCTCCAAGTCCGTTTCTACTTCACGAAACAAAAATGCTAATCAAATCCTCCCACTCCAGTTTAAAAAAGAAAAAAAAAATCGATTTGCAAGCGGCCCCTGACAGAAAATCCTTGTTTTTTCTATCTACACAGAGAAGCCAGAAGGCTGAAGGCTGGAGGTTGAGTTTGAGGAACACTCAAATGTAGTCATCGAAGGGGCAACCAGAATGGACGATGAGAAGTTGAACAAATAAATCCAATCAGAAGGCGTCAAACAGACAACAAACGGGGAGAATCTGACATAGCTTAATAGAAACCATCCATCCAGAATGAGCAAAAGAGAAAAACAAAGAAAATTTGACTTGGAAAAAGCAAAGAATTCAAACCCACGATGTAGCAATCACAAACAAGAAAACAGAAACCAACAAAACCAAGAAAAACCCAAACCGGAACGTCAAATAGTCACCAACTAAGACCAGAAAACACAGATTTTGGCTTCTTGCTTGATTCTGTTTCAGAATGAAGTTTGGGATTTGTGTCTTTTTTTTTTCTTCCTGTCAGTCAGATACGATCATTTTGACTCTTTTGCCGTGCGACACAAAAGGAAGCCGGGCAATGATTGAGGCCCGCTCAGATAACAGCCTGTCCCCATTTTCATTGTGCAGGTTGTCCCAACTCTGCTCCACACCGAGTCCAGTTTTCTTTGACCTCGTGGAGTCGTCTGGGTCCATTTTTGAGCCGCAGATGAGACCGAAGATAATGTACCGAGAGATTTCATTTGGTTCCAGATGTGATGTGGCAAAAGAAAACATGTGAGGCTGAGAGCTGATGGAGGTTCCGCCGTATCTCACATTCGGGCAGAAAGCCCCATATATGAGAAAAAATTGAAGCAAGATAGTTTTGACCACATTTCTAAACCCCCATTGACGGAAAAAATAAGAACATCACATTTTTTAGAGGCAGAAAGCTTGAAAATAGCTTTTTTTAGGGGGCTCAAATAAGTTACAGGCTATTTTGTTTTGTATCGAGGCATCAAATTTAATTCCTCCTCCTGAGCAGAACAGTCATTTTCTGAAAGAAACAACAGGCAAAAGAATCATAAATCCTGCCTTTTCATTTCAATAGAGAGTTGGAGTTATCTTTTAGTGTTCCTGCTTTTCAGAGGCCGTTACCAAGCAGTTTTCTCTGAAAACTAAAAGTTTTTGAAACGTATCGTAACAGAAGCCTCCTTTGCTGCTGTGGTCTTCATTCGTACTTTGCTGAGATCATACCTGACCAATAACCCTCAAACTGTGGTCCAATAGACATAGTGATAAGCCTGACAACCCCCCCATCTCACCTCTGTCCCTCGGATACAGATCACGATCTATAATGTAGTTTGTTTAAAGAACAAATTCACAGGTTTCTTCTTTGCAATATTCCAGGAGACCAAAAAAATAAGGACCTCTCCACCAGCAGATGATTACTTCAACCTTTTACAACAATCTTAGAATGGAAAAACCTGTCAAAATATCTGGTCTGAGAGGTATAAAACGAGGAGGGTGTCCAATTCGTGACATGGGACTTGAACTAAACTAAATCAAAAAGAAAAAGACCGATTGATCGGGGGTCCGAGCTCCTGAGGTCCAGACCACGTGAGAGAGGATCCGAACTTCTTGGAGCAAGTTGAAGAACAGCAGTCGAACAGCTCCAGGCCCCAGAGACACGGGGAGCCTTTTCAGCCGTTCTGCCTCTCACTGCTTTCAAATTGAGGAAGAGGAGGTCAGGATCCTCTGAACCCTGAAGGACAAGGAGGGGCGGGGGGAGCTTAGATAACGATAAAGCAGATTAAGGGGTCTTACCTGGGAGATACACTTCTATCAGACCCACAGAAGAAGAGCTGAAAACTGAGGATGTGTTGCTCCTCCGGCAGAGCTGTGGAGGCCGCAGAGGGAAGAGTCCAGCAGTGCCCCCTGCTGGAGGATTTCATTAATAGCCTGGTGTCAGGAGCTCTGATGGATCTGGCTGAAAACTCTGAGAAACCTGAGTCTCAGCGTCTCCGACTAAATGAAGCCGACGGGCACCTGCACGCCATCGATTGCTCCTCCAAATAGCCTTCACCCATTCCTGTTCCCCTCTTCCCATCAAAAGAACCGACAGATCCTTTGTGAAAAGGTCTGAAAAGGAAACAAACCCACATGCTAGAAACTATCATCATTTTGAATGTAATATTGATAAACCGAAGCCATGTTAATGATATCGTATGTGCTTTAGTTCACGTCAAATTAGTTTTGTACCACCAGTGGTGCAAAGAGAAGGCTCTTATCTAAAAAGGAAAAGGCAGTTTGCCTTGAAAAACCAGTTGCCGAACCCAGGCGAACAGTTGTATTTCACCACTAAGTCTCTCCTCTCTTGAGCCCTTCAGTTTTTCAACCTGTTTGCATTGTGAGGGACTAATTTGTCAGAGCATGTTCTGAATAAATCAGGCCATCCGCATTGTAAACATATATAGGATAGAAATAGGAAGATGTTTCAGCATGTAATTTTTCAATTTAAGCTCCTTGATCATTGATTTTCCTCCACTGAGGTGACTAAAAGTATTTTTCCGACTTGTACAACAAACTGTTGTACAGCTTTTTTAATCTCTCTGCTCTCAGAAGGAAGAAGCAAAGCAGTAAAATGGATAGAGAAGCCTGAAGTAGCAGAAGAATCTGATTGAAAACCAGAGGTAGTGGGTCAAACGGTGGAAGAACAGAGGCAACAGGCAGCCAACATCCAAATAAGAGCTCTGGAAAGTCCTTCAAGAAGCCTGAAGACCCCTTAAAGAAAGGAAACAGAGCTGGTTGAAGAGGCGTGCTGGAGGATAAAGTAGCTCAGGGCAAATCGACTTTTAAGCTGGTTCAGAATCCTGTTTTCCCTTTTAAGTTGCCACACATTTCAGTGTATCTGGAGCTACATCCAGATAATTTTTCTCTCCTGAAAATTGAACAAAAAGTTGACATAACCACAATTTCACTCCACTATTCTTGTCCTAAAACTCTAAGCAGCTTTTTTTATATTATATATGACCCACATTTTTGGTTAAAAAACAATAAGCATGTGATGCAAAAGGTGGCAGAAGTCTCTGTATCAGATATGATCCACATAATGGGTTAACACGCCTCCTTTCCGCACCTTCACTGGCACTAAAGGGTCAGGCTCCTCCCCTCACCCGGCTCACTGACAAGAGACAAAGCAAGAAATACAGGAGGAACCAACCAGAGAGAAAGACTTTCGATCACGATCGCAAAACAAAATCAAAACCTCGGAGTGTCGTCTATGGAGAAGAGCTACAGGAGAAAAGCTACAGGAGAGAAAACGGGGAATACCGTGAGTATTGGAGCATGCAGAAATGATGGAGGTGGCTAAGAAAAACAACCTGAGGGTTAAAGTTATTTCTCATATGTTGTTCATCTTTCTGTAGTTTTTTATAGGCAGTTTAGAAGAAGAAGAAGAAGAAGAAGAAGAAGAAGAGAAAAATGGCGTCACAGACAGAGGAGGATCTTTCTTGTCCCATCTGCCAGAACATCTTCAAGGATCCGGTTCTGCTGTCCTGCAGCCACAGCTTCTGCAAAGGCTGTCTGCAGAAATGGTGGTCGGTCAAAATCATCAACAGTTGTCCGGTTTGCAAGGCACTGTCTCAGCAGCGCGAGCCGCCTATCAACCTGGCTCTGAGGAACTTGTGCGAGGCCTTTCTCCGAGACCGAGACCGTGGGGCTCCGAAGAGGTCCGAGCCCCTCTGTGGCGTGCACCAGAAGAAACTTCGCCTCTTCTGCCTGGAGCACCAGCGGCCGGTGTGCCTCATCTGCCGGGACTCCAAAGCCCACGACAAGCACACGTTCCGGCCCTGCGACGAGGCGGCCGAGGAGTACCGACCGGCCGTCCGGGAGCTCCTCAGGTCTGTCCGGGAGAAGATGGACCTCTTCGAGAAGGTCCGCGAAGACTACGACCGGACGGCCGGGCACATTGAGTTCCAGGCCCACCACACCGAGAGGCAGATCAGGGAGGAGTTCGAGAATCTGCGCCGGCTTCTGCAAGAGGAGGAGGACGCCAGGGTTTCTGCTTTGATGGACGAAGTGCAGCAAAAAGCTCAGGAGATGAAGGAAAAGATTCAAGAGCTGACCAAGGGGATGGCCTCCCTCTCTGGTACAGCCGGGGCCGTGGAGCTGCAGCTGAGGTCCGCCGACGTGCCATTCCTGCAGAACTACGCGGCCACGGTGGAGGCGGCCCGCCGGGATCTGCTGCTGGACGCCCCTCCAACGGCCGCCGGCGCCCTGGTGGACGTGGCCAAGCACCTGGGCAACCTGAGCTTCGGCGTCTGGGAGAAGATGAAGGGCTGGGTGTGTTAAGCCAATTCTTTAGTTGGAAAGATATTTAAGAGAGAGATATTTGCATACCCCAACAATGAGAGACCGTCATTGTCAAGCCTATAAGGACCGAGTGAATGAACTAGGTGGGATGTTTTGCACAATTAAGCATCAGCCCTGAAAAAAGGACTCACATAAACCTAAAAAACACCCCAGGACCTGATAGCTTCAGCATAGAAAATTATGAATATCACATCATCCAACGTGTAATGCATGTAATAATTTCTGGTGGACTTGGCCGAGCACCTGGGCAACCTGAGCTTCGGCGTCTGGGAGAAGATGAAGGGCTGGGTGTGTTAGGTCGATTCTTTAGTTGGAAACCTGAAAATAAACCAGAGTCGATCAAGAGTAAAAAATTGAGATTTATTGGGTCACAGGTAAAGTATTTCAGCGCTGGGCTCTTCACAGAGGAAAACCTCTCTCTCAGGGTCTCAGTCGGCAAAGAGCCCTGAGATCTGGGGGTGATGGGTATTATCTCCTTGGCTGGGCACACCACTCAAAAGGAGGACTGGACACAACCAAGTCCTATTGGTTAGTTATCTGTAAGACTAACAAGCTAGGTCGTAATTCATATTCATGACATTGGAATGTGGTACCAAATTATGTGTGTGTGTGTGCTGATTTAAAGACGTGGATCTAATGCAACAGAGAAAGAAAAGAGAGAACAAAGAGAAATCAGTGGTTACAGCCAGAGACTTCATATAGTTATAAAAGAAAATAAAACAATCAGTAATCTACATAGATCATGTGATAGCAAACAACGCTAAAGTGAGTATTTATAACCAAATCCTAACAGGTGTCCCGCTCGCCGGTGATCCTGGACCCCAACAGCGCCCACCCGGACCTCCGGCTGTCCGAGGACCTGACCAGCGCCACGCGCCGGGAAAGGCAGAAGCTTCCGGCCAATCCGGAGAGGATCTACTCCTACCCCGCCGTCCTGGGATCCGCCGGGTACGACTCGGGGACTCACAGCTGGGACGTGGAGGTGGGAGACAGCTCCTTGTGGGCCCTGGGGGTGCTAGCGCCGTCCCCTCAGAAGAATAACAACGACCCGTCGAAGCTACTGAAGGTAGCTTTCTGCGATGGGGAGTACACGGCGGACTCTGGGGTCGATCCCCCGGGAGTCCTCCCGATAACCAAGAGATTCCACCGGATCAGAGTCCATCTGGACTGTGACAAGCGCAGGCTTTCGTTCTCTGACGCTGCCTCCGAAACACACATACACACCTTCAAATACAATTTCTCAGAGAAGCTGTTTCCGTACTTTAACGTTGTGAACGCACAGCCGTTGAAGATAATGCCGGCGAAATGATCTCTAGGGTCAGGGTGACGAGAGTTAGACGGGGTTTGTAAAGGGGAGTGGTGAGGTTTGGAATTGTTGCCGTTGCAAACAAAACCTCAGACTGATATTGATCTAAACGACGTGGCCCCGTCGGTCGGGCCTGTTCAGCCGGTCCCAAAAAGCTGGCGGGAAACCAACAAACGGGGAAAAAATCGCTGTGGTTCGCAGCCGCTACCTGCAACCCTTCTGAATACCGTCGATCATTTAACGCAGGAAAGAGCATGTCAATCAAATAAAAAAAGCATTCGCTGATAAAAATGTCTATTTTTTATTTATCTTTTATTTATTTTTTTGTCTTTCTGAAACCAAAATGCTGCCTCTTGGAATTTAAGATACTCGCTTATTTTACTCCTGTCTTGAGATGTGGAGTATTCATGAGAACTCAGCAGGAGACCACTGCCAAACACTGCTCTGAAAAGCTGATCAAATTAGCTGGAAAATGTCACAGATGAAGTAAATCAGATGAATATTCTTTAAAACAAAACCAAAACGGGACATATAAGAAAACTGAACAAATCACTTACATCAAACACAATCAGAGGCTGATCAAGACTTTCAATCCCTCCTTCCTTTTTCTAATAAAGTACAATAAGTGGTTGTGACCAAACATAGGTGACTGAATTGGGAACCCCCCCTTTCTTAGCTACCATTCCTTGTCAGATTGCATTATGGGTTGGAAGTCACCTGTTATAGGTCACAACAGCGTGCAGAGCCTCAGGCTCAGACAGGCCGATTCTCCGGAGATTCAACCTGCGGCTGCAAACTGTATCAACAACACCTACTTCTTCTTCTTCTTCGCTGTGTGCAAGTTGGGTTTTTTTTCCCCCCCACCAATTACAGGACACGTTCCGCCCGCAGGCAACACATACACCTTTGGAAAAACCTCGGAGAGGATACGGCACCGTTAACAGAGGGCAAATCCCATTCGGCATTCATCCATCCTTCATGGAGGCCGACTGGCCGAAGAAAAGGCTGGGCCTCCTTCGAAAAATGCCATTCGTTTCGGGACTTCGTCTTCAAGACTCACGTGGATTTCACAGATACGGTTCCGTGGCCTGAAAAGGCGATGTTGGAATTGGGCTGTAATTACTCACTTTGGCACAGTATGTTATAACTTAATCCATGTAAATGACTGATCTTCTTATTCCTTTTTAGATTCATGTTATTCCCTTTATAATGATACTTTTGTGTTAAACTCTCGGGCTCTGCCTACTCCTCTCTCTGTTACAGTAGATACACATCTTCAAGCTCAACACTCACACACACACTTTCTTATCACATTTAACCGAAACCTGCATGAATTAGGACCTGGCCTGTTTATGTCAGAGCTAACTGGCCAATAACACTCGGTTGCGTCCAGCCGTCCTACTGTTCGAGGCCCAGAGGAAAACTGTCCATCACACCCGGAAATCGAGGCTCTTCCAGACTGAGATCCTCAGGGAGCTTTGTCTGTGAGAGCCCATCGCTGATTTACTTTGCTTGTGACCAATAAATGTCATATTTGTACTCTTGATCTGCTCTGGTTTATTCTCTGGCTTCCAACTAAAGAATCGGGCTAACAGCGGCGTGTGACCTGTGACCTGTAAAATTAGATAAAGACGGCCGGATGGCACCGTCTGGGGAAATATCCGACAAACACCCCCCCCCATGGACGTTGAATATGCATCGATGTGGCACCGAGAACCTCCAGATACAGTCTGAGCGACGCCTGCCGCGCAGCATCACGTTACCAGTGTGTCTCTGACAGGCAAACAGGCGCGCCGGCATCAAATTTTAACCCCGATGTCAATTTTTAATCGGCCCACAGTCTGGTCTGAGCAGCAGAGATTGGCGAGCGGCTTCAGTTTATGCAACGTGTGTGCAGAAAGCCTCGGCCTGCAGCTGAATCCCAATCAGCCGACCCACAAACAGGGGAAACGGCAATACGATAAAGTTTGTAACAGCCATTAGCTGTTCAGACTGCCTTCTGCTAGAAAAGGGGAAGAGACAGAAGCCATGAAATTGTTGCGAGAGATTGATAGGCACACTTTGAAAACAACAGATCTTGTATTTTGTGTGTTTCAAATCCAAAACAAAGTAAAACAACTTTACATCGGGTTAGCTACAAACTATGTTCTTCCTTCCGGTTTTCCTCCTTGACATCTTTTTGACGGCTCAGCCTCCCATCAGATCTGTTTCTTTATTCAGAATCAGCTTTATTCATGAAATTCTACATTTATTGCCCGACTCCTTAAAAAGTCATGGGGTTTTGTATTGATCTTCTCATTTGCTGCCAGCGAACCTGGGGCCACGCATCCAGGAGATAGCTTCGGGGAGTTATGAATAAATTCCATGTTAATAGAATTCGAAACTGCGTTTTTTAAAGGGCTTTTGAGGAAAGTTGAACTCAGAGAATCCCGACAAGCTTTTAGTTGGCTTTTAGGGGACGGCTGTAGCTGAGAAGGTGCAGTCGACTACCGAGCAGGTCGGCGGTTTTGTCCATTTACGTTACAAAAGGGAAGTTTCAAGCACAATTTAAAGGTTAGGAAGCTTTTTTCTTCCTGACTTCCAAGCTATGAGCTGGTTTCTCACTACATAACCGCTTCTAGTTTCAGCAGGGAGCTCTGGAGTTATGGATCAGATGCAGACTTTTGAGATATTTGAACACCCCAACAATGAGAGACCGTCATTGTCAAGCCTATAAGGACCGAGCGCATGAAATAGGTGGGATGTATTGCACAATTAAGCATCAGCCCTGAAAAAAGGACTCACGTAAACCTAAAAAACCCCCCAGGACCTGTCATCTTCAGCATAGAAAATTATGAATATCGTATCATCCAACGTGTAATGGAAGTAATCATTTCTATGAGCATCTTTGGTTAATAGAATTACAAATACTTAAGAAAGGCTTTCACATAAAAATCTTAACAGAATCAAAAGCATCTGGCTGTGGGAGCTGGTTTGCTGCCCGCTCAGCTTTTATCTTCTGCTTTTTTATCTTCGGCCTGTTTTCAGGAAGGCATTGACACGGCAAACCGCCGCTGAATGGAGACGGAATGAAAAGGTCCACGGTTCGCACTCTCAGCCAACACCGTGACAAGCCGGCTGTCCTCATTACAGGGGGTGTCATCGCTGTCAGGCTCTGTTTATCTCACCTCGATACTCGGTCCCCTGAAGGCAAACCTCTTTACTGGTGAAGAGGAAGGGGCGACTTACTTATAGAGGCTGGACGCCATTATTGGGTTTTTCCCCCTGATCAGCCGATATCTTTATTTACACATGTAAATTTAGCATATTTCCTTCAAGATTTGCTGGTTTCATTACTTTTAATAAAGGAGAATCCTAGTTATTCAGCATTAAAACCTTGAAGATGTCATGAATTGCGGGTATTTACATGTGTTTCTCACACTGGGGAAATGCAGGCAGACTTTAACAAGCTGTTTGCACAGTATTAAGCACCAAATTCTAGTTTGTTAGTTTGGTAAGAAGGTAGCTACTGCTTATTACTAATGCATGGACCCATGGGGTCTTAACTCATAAGATGGTCGCTGTGAAAAGGTTTGCGACTCGACCCTTTTCAGGCTCTATTTCTTCTCCTATTAAGGTGTCCGTCTACATGGAGAGACAACAATCGATTTCTGGAGTGAAGAAGTTGCCCTGAACAGTCTGTATTCTAAGATCAGTTTCCCTTCCTCGCTCGTTTTTCTGACCAACAACAGCACCAGCACACTCAAGAGCCACCCGACCCTTCATTTTCTTCCACGCGTTTCGGATACCCCGACAACAAAATCGACAGCAATCATTCCAAAGCCCGTGTTCCTCGGACCGATCACCTTTAAAAACCGTAATAAAAACACGAGTGGCCTGAAATGACCAGGTTCTCCCCACCAAAACCAACAACACAAAGCCTACAAGTCTTCCCCACTCAGCTTCGTACAGATTTCTTGAATTATTCAGCAGCATTGTGCGGGATGAAAGAGGCAGTTTGGTGCCCGCTGTACTTGTGTGAATTCACAATTCGTGGCAGTATGGATAAACAAGGACCTGCTTATGAGTTTCCAGGAATCTGGGGGTCGGACACGATGCTGTCATCGGCTCTCATTGATAATTGGATCGATCGGGGATGCTGTGTCACTTTGAAGCTCTTGCCTTGTTCAAGGTTGCCTAAGAGTGTGTGTGAAAAGTGCTGTTGTTCACCATGTTGTTCGATATATACGTTCTTTCCATTTAACAGTTTTTTTTCTTCAACAAGAGAATGTGGAATCACACAAATCTACCCGGGTTTTACGACTGATGACGACATCTATCTCTATTTACGACTTAAAAAGGGGGCAATTTCTCATACAAGTCAGGTAATCCGTCATTAAAGCTGCCACAAGGCTTCTGGTTGTTGGTGTAGGTCTGGGTGGGGTCCAGCTCCTGACCTCTTTGGGCCGCTGTCCAGCAGTTTTTGAGGAGCTTGCCTTGCTTCAACACGCCCGATTCACGTCAGTTTGCCGATTCGAGGCCCGTGAGGAGCTTTGACGTCAGGTAAACTGGAAAACACCCAACTGAGTAGCCCCAAGAGTTTGATTTCATGCTACTGGACCTGTTCTCCAGTTGGTCTGAGCTTGGTCCAGAGGGAGTGGGGTTGGGTGGGAAGACACACTTTTCACTGATGGATTCGAGTCGTAAAAGCTCGGCTGTGAAGGGACTTCAGGGCGTGCATCCATCCATCTGAACTCAGCCAAACATGTTTATGCCCCTTCTCTTCTCTCCACTCAGCAACCCCCCCTACACACACCCACCCCCTTACACACACACACAAATAAATCTCAATCTAAAGTGCTCTAAATTCTTCTCCAAAGACGGCGGAACAAGAAACCAAGCACAAACGTCCCCTTTTACCCTTAAAACAGCCTCCTGAGGACACTTTTAACACGTCTAATTTGTGCTCACTTATTCTGCTCTCACCTTTCTTTCTGTAAACCCTCCATCCATCCATCCATCCA